TCCTGTGGATTTTCACCGTCAGGAAGTTGCACAAAACAGGCATGTATGTTTGATCCTTGCTCCAGGTCTGTAAGGGTAACCTGTGGGCAGAGACTTTGGAGAACAGACTGGGACTTTCTGAATTGTGGGGATTGTGGGGGATGGTGGTTGAATAAAGGTGGTTAAGCTCTCACCTAGCATGTGTTCCTAGTGTGCCAACCCTAGGTCATAACAAGAAGAGGGTAACCTTGTGATCTGTACTGCCAGCTTCTGCCCAAATCTTAATTTATTTAAAGGGTTATTTCCATGTTTTGCACAAACATTATGATTGTGCTAAGCAGTTTCCAATCTCAACTTTTATTTCAATTCCAACCATCATTATATCTCAGTCCTTTCCCATCAGCAGTCTCAGACATAACAACAAACATTTTAACATTTTGCTTCTGAGAAGATAATTTGTCAAAGAATAGTCATTTAAGTAGGAATGGTAAGATGCACTATAAAGTGAGAGAGGGCAAGAAAAATAAAAGATTGCATACAGTTTTTGGGTGCTCTTTGGAGATTATGATTGAATGAGATTCTAAGTATACTTTTTCTCTTGATTAAGAATATGTTATAGTTATTACATCTTGATCCATTATATAAAAATTAGAAGGAACATCAGAAATTGTGGACTTGGCTGGATAGCTATAAAAAAAGCCACCGTTTCACTGGTTTCTTTCATCCCTCAGTTGGCTCACATGACACCCCCATTTATGGCATGAAAATGAATAAAGAAATATACAAAGGAAAGTAAAGAAATTTATATTGAAGCAAACTGTTATAACAAATGGACATGGACATACATGCATAAGCCATCTCCATCAATTCATTTTGCCCTGAGATCTAATAATTAATTCATCCATGCCTAATTGATTGCTATCATTTAACAATAAAACTTGGAATCAGATTGATTTGTATCCAGAAGTTAGGAAATCCTTAACAGTACAATTGAGCTATCAGTTGTTTAACATAATTTTGAAAAGAACTGTTAACAGCATTCATAAACACTCTGAATGGAATTGTCCAGTAACTGCTTTCTGGATGAAAAAGGGACCTTTAGGTGACATTAATAGAACCATTGCTTTTGTTAGGGATAACATTGTTTACCCTAACTGGTTTGGGTAAAAAATAA